ATGATAATAATAGTAGTTAAGCACTCATCCATACACCCACTGCTTTGGTTGATCCTTTCTCTGCTCAGTTTGTGGCTTTGATTGGAACACATTCTCTGAGCAAGCATTCTGATTGGCCGTCACAGCCATCTGAGCTGAACAGCAGTAGATTCTTGTATTAGATTTTGATAAACAGAGGATGGTTCAGAATTCAGGAGCTCACAGGATGTGTCCCAATGGTTGGTTGCTGGCGATCGCCACGATGATAATTGGATGTTTGAAAATGTATGCTTCCAACCTTGAGCAACAAGGTTTCAGGAGGGTAAGTCTTCTGTTTGCTTCCACAAGACTAAATTAAATTCTTTGAATTCATTTTTTTCTTTTTTTTTTACAGTAGAAAAAAAAGAAAAAAGAATCAATATGAAAGTGTCTGAGCAGTCCTACAGCATCCATTTTAGGGGTTCTGACCCACCCTGTGCACAAACATCTCTAATACCGTGTAATATTTGCTCTTATTTCAATCTGTCAATGAGTTGTGGGGTATGTCTGTATCTGGATGAAAAAGATCTCTGGATTGACTCGGCTTTTCCATCAGAGCAAACTGAAAAATACATAAAATAAAATAAATAAACATACAGGGTCCATGTGAAAAGTAAAACTGCTTTTTGAGATCCTCTTAACCAAGACATGAAGGATTGTTGATTATTTATTGATCTTTAATTATTGATCATGAGGCTACTATCAGATTAATGTTAGTTATCATCAGCTGGTTATATCATCAAGTCTCTCTAACTTTCCCATTTCTTATTGGTCTCGATAAAAAAGGCCAAATTGCTTCCTCCTGCCTTTGTTGGATTCTAACATGGATATATTTTATTTATCCTCATCTTAATTGAAGTCATTGTTCAACACTTTAAGTTTCTCTCACAGTAAAAGTTTACAATAAATGACTACTTTCTAAATGTCTGATTGCTGCCACAGTAACCATGACAACTGGTCATCTTTGACTCATATGTTCAAATAATTAGAGCACGTACTGATGTAGTAAAGTGGCATGCTTTTTTTCTTTTTCTGAAATTAAAACAGTCTCATTGATTGCTCTTTTTTGTAGAATCTATTTCAATCCTTACTTCAAACTAAAAATAATGCTGATAAAACTATAGTTGCTAAAATGATTTTAGAACAAAATTTTTAAATGTGAATTTTAATTAAACACACAAAGTGATCAGGTCTTTAGTAGGAAAGGGACTTGTGGCTCTAGGAAAATACAGAATTTTTCTGGTTTGAAAAAAATAAAATAAAACTTTATCCATTCTCGACAAGAGAACAAGATTTCTGTCAGTCTCTCTTAAAAAATAAACCCTTATGTTTTTAAGTGTAGAAATATTTATTAAAATCAGATTTGGTTGCACAGATGAGGTCGTATTTGAATTGGGGTGCACAGTGGTTAACTCTTTATCTTTGTCTGTAAATTTGTTTTTCTGGTTTTTATCCCTCAGATGATAAAAAGGAAATTCCAGCTCCTCCTTCAGCTGTAGGTCGCTGTCTTCTTACCTCCATTGTGACTTCCTTTGATGTCTATCATCTGTATGTTGGTTAGAAACGTTGCTTTTTTTGCATAGCTCTCCGTTTTCTGCCTGCAGGCCTTTTTAGTATCATAAAGAATCCAACCTTCCATTTTGGCCCGCCTCAGGAATTAAAACTTACTCTAATTCATTACATTACTGCACTTTTGGCAGCAGGCTGCACCAAATAAATAACTTTGTCCACATTTTTCAGACAAGCTGATTGGTTTTCTAGCCCCAGATTAATTATCAGGCAGTAACACAGACTAGTAAACAGTGTTTATAAGCTCTCTGTGTTTACTTGTTACTCCCACACTGTTAACCAGGGAGTGTTTGTCCTTAATTAGACTTTTCCTCCCACATTGTTAACTTCAGGGCGAATGAAGTGTTTCCATGAAGTCCACTTTTTGCAGCCACCTATCTGGCTCAGCAGCTTTCCACTCTGGGTAAAAATGCACAAGCTTTGAAAGGTAAATACAGTGTTTTTGTGAGAAGTTGGGACTGCTTGCTATTGCGTTTCTGTGAAGATGCTTTAAAGGATTTGTACCAGGCCTGCTTGTTGCCAAAGCTGTGATTACCGCCCAGAACTGCTGAGTGAAGGCAGATCCAGAGATTCCAGTTAAATGTTATTTCTTGTCAAAGTGAATACGATATCCATCATAAAATGAGCCATGGAATCTGTGTCCAGACTTTTAGAGGATGCCAGTCATAGACTCAGATATTTTTTGTCAGTTCTTTGGAATAATTGAAATGGTGGAAGGATAAGTTTATTTCAAGGCGAAATGTAACTTTATAAAAAGAAATGTACTTCACATTAATTACACTGTAGAAATATACTTTAAGGACATATTTATGAGTAGGTTGTTCTAAGTGACTCATGTTTTGAACCTAACATCTTTATGGTCATTTTTTTTTTATATTTTCATTTATTTCTTTATTTTTTCTCCCGATCCTACCTACATTACAGTTTAGTCCTGATGTAAAAATGGATGATTGTGTTGTAATTATTATTATATGTTGCTTTGTATAGTTGTCTTTGGCTTCACTTTAAAGAAACTAAACCTAAACTCTTTTTATGTCAAGATATTTTAGATCTGATCCAGTCTAATTTTTCCCAGAGTCCAACTGAAGTCTCCTATCATTTGCCCAATTCAGTTCTGAAGACCATTCAATTAAATGTTCTAGTTTATGCATAGCAGATGCATGGAATGAGCAATATACCTGAAAGTTGTCCGTTTTTCCCCCCTTATGTTCTAGTTAAAATGCCCCTGCAGATGGACAAACTCTAGACTGCATTGGTGGTAAATTATACTCACTTTAAGAAACACACACAGTCATTCACAGATGTGCAGTTTGGTGGGTCACTCTTGATTTAGTTTTTCTTTTAATTGGATAAATGGTGGATTAAATCTGGTATAATATGAGGTCAATTTGCTGCTGTTCCATTTAAATCTATCCTGCAAACTACTGCTCCTCATCTTTACTGGTCCATATCTGTACATGGAGCTCCTTTAATTCGCTTCCCTTTCCTTTAGAGCAGGGGTGTCAAACTCATTTTCACTGAGGGCCACATCAGCGTAATGGCTGTCCTTAAAGGGCCAGATATCGACTCCGACCTGCAC